TGGCGTGCAATAACCGACGCTTGTGAAGAAAAAGGCCGTATGCAAATTTTTGCACACACATTTTTGGGCGCAAATTTTAGCGCAAATGTTAGTTTAAAAATATTGCTGCTTTTTAAAAAGTACGTAAGCAAAGGTTTGTATTTCGATATTTTGTGCAAGTACGCAAGGTTTATGCACAATTATTCGCTAGCGATTAAGTTTGTTTCACAATAGTATGCATGCAGCACTTCGTATGCAGGTGTGTACTGTATATTGGAATAAAGATATTAATCATTCATCTTGTGCCTTGGATCAAGCATCATTGCGGAGGTCACCACACCCGTTGTATGAAGCGGCGGTAGACAGCGATAGTCGCGTCAGGACAAATACTACGGCCAGCTCAACTATTCATGGCATGAAATTAAACATCCCTCGGCGGCCACAGATCCAATGCAGATCACCTGCTGAGTTTGTTGTGCCCCCCCCCCCCCCTCTCTTTATCCCCTACCCTGACGAAGGTCTTGTCGACTACTTCGCTTGGCGCCCCCTGAGCGTGTTGAGCCTCACGCTGCCAGTCTCCAGCTAGCGTCAGCGTGCCAGTGACGCCAGCTGACGGCCGTGGTGAGAGGCAGCTAGATTATGAAATAAGGTGGGCAGACGCGCGTGTGAACCCTGGCGCGCAGTGACTGGTCTAAAGTAAATCGGAGTCCAGAGAGAATGGTGCACCAGCTGGACTTGCCTTCATGCACCCTCTTGGATTGGGGTCATGTTTGCACCGGACCTAATGCTGCTTTAGAGTACCACTTTTAAAGTGCACATCGGATAAACTAGAAATTGCTCACCCGAATTCGTACTTTAAATTATTCCCTGAAAACTAAGTTTCAGCGACAGTTGAAAACTGATGGTTCATAAGTTGGTGGCTTGGCATGGTCTACCTGTCCTGGAATATTCCCCATTTAAGATTCATCCAGCATCATAAAGTCAGTTTTATCAGCGCGTCACAATAGGCTTAGTGTTAGGCATTCTCGGGAATTATGGTGCACCCCGTTTCTTCATTCCTTGCACAATAAGTAATACAGCGTTGGCATTGCATAATGGTGGGTCCAAAATCTTTCGTCGATGGCATGGTGATATGTTCGAAAATTGCCAACCGCACGCGTAATAGGTATTCAAAGAGTCACAAAATGCAAAATTCGATTTCGATTGCCACGAAAATGATCGGGAAACATCTTGAAAACTGAATGGTGCCAAAAGGCAGTATACAAGTGGCTATCTTATTTATAGGTGATACACGTGTTGTGGCCACTGCCGGTCAATGATTGGTCTCAGACGCCAACGCGCGATCAGTGATTTATTACTTCACATGTTTGCTTCACTATAAAGGGACAGCTGGGCTAACAGCGAGAATTTAGTCTTCTTGCACTGCATGGACCGAATGGCGAGGGCATCGTCACGACTCCTCTGACGCGCAGCGCCTGGATGTACCCATCTAGTTTGATCGATATGCTGCAGTGAGTAGTTAACTCAAGCGTCAAATGCTGTAGATGTGCAGAACGGCGGCCCGTTCAAAGCAGCCTGGATGCCTCTCAATCGAGAAATTACGCGAGGCACTGTTGCAACAGGCCGCACTTGGCACTGACTTCCCCAAATGTTGAGTAACTAATATGTGTCTGTGAACGGGGTCTGGCCGCATCTCTGCCATCGGCAGGCCGTGATGGCTCTGGCGGCGCTCCGTTCACATCGTTCCATGAGCCAGACACCGCAGGAGCACCTACCGTCGCGTCACGTTAGCTGCACACGCGGTGCTAACTCCCGCAGTTTGTTTTACGGTGCTCGCAGCACGTAATGCAATTAGCATCGGGACCTTCTCACATATCGACGCTTGGGAGGTGACAGTGATTTGTTTGGAAGAGCCGGGAACCAGCCCCGAACACTCCGATATTCTGAGGGGTTCGCATTCTCACACACATCCTTTCGCTGTACCCACTGACCGCACCTGCGCCTGCGTGCCACGTGTGGTGGGCGTGTTAGTGATATTGGTTCGGGGCTGCAAACCCCCGGTGGAGCCGAGACGGCCGCCTCGGAGTGTCGTCGGCGCCCGCTCCAGGTCAGGGGTCAGGCGCGAAGCGGGTCGGGGGTCAGGCGCAGGGACGCGCGTGCGGTGAGCGGTGACGAGCGGCCACTTTGCCAACACCAGCCGCGGTCGGTCGCCCATCTAATGGGCGTTGCTCAGACGGCTAATTTGGTCGCGTCTTGTGGTGGGCGGCGGCCGACTACCCGCACCCTGCAATGCTGCATTGTGAGGGCGCGGCACGGTGCGGCGCGGCACGGGCCAAGTTGAAATGACGACAGAACGGTGATCAAATGAAGACGCCAACAACGAGAGCGATTTTGTAACATCTAACTATCTCAGTATTTTATGAACATGGCGAAGTACTGGAAAATGTTTTGGGTATTTCATGTTGTAGCGAGCTAATTTTATTTATAAGCTTACCTTGACGATGAACCACGAGCGTTGGTGTGGGAAGGGTGTTGACGGTGGGGGAGGGGGAGGGGTTCTGTCCTACCCTTCAGTTTCATTGGTTGGATGAGTCGGGAATTATATCTTGGTTTTTGGTGCGAAAAATGTATTTCATGAAACCAGATGCAGAAGCATAGAGGCATCTAAACGGCTAGGTCTGGTATCGGTGCAATGAATATATATATGAGCAGTCAGCAGATGGCGGGCGAGGCTACATATGAGGGAGCTGAGTGGTTCAGGGCTGTCGCCATAAATAAAGTAGTTTCAAAACCGACTTAACATCCGTTCGGGTGGGGTTAAATGCCCCCTCCCCTCCCCCGAAGGTTTTTCCGGACTGGTTTCCGAACAGCGTGATGCAGCCGCGCCAAATTTTGCTTAGCTGCAGGCATTTAATAACGGATTGTTTGACATAGAATATTTAGATGCATTTTGTAAGGTCACTGACCTATGGCAGGTCAAAGTCAAGGCATGGATTCTGCGAAGTCAGTTTCTGGGGAACCGTTCAGTCTAATGCAACAACAGAGTGTTAGATAAGACCATACATCTCCGAGATACTTGCTTAGGCATCGCAGAAATTGAATGAACAAATTTCACTGGCATAAGGTCAGCTTTGAAGGTCAGGCTAAGGTCAAAGCCAACCTATTTTATTACTCTAAGGTTTGTTGTATGGGTTAGTTTCTGGTGCTCATTTCAAATTTGTTGATAGCAGAAACCGCATTACACATCTTCCATGCACTTATCGAACTCCACAGAATAGGTCGCTGACCTAAAATGACCCAGGTCGACATTTTTTGGGGGAACATACTGTCTAGCGCAATCTTTGTCGCCTATTCAAATGCAAAACTCAAAGCAGTCTTGTATGATTTGGGCCACCATGACCTCCGAAAGGTAAAATAAGGTCACTGACCTAAGATGATCATGTGACCTTTTGCCTAGAACATGTATAATCTAGGTGTATCTCTGTGATATTTTGCTTAGAACGACCTGAACATTGACCTTGTTTGACCTTGTTCAACCCGTAGATCATAACTACGAATATCAAACCTTGACCTGAGTGAGTTCATGAACAGGCCAATGCACCTTGCAAATTTGGTATGCCTAGCTCTCTTAGTTCCCGAGATATCAGGGGGTCAAACTCGGGCGAAGGATGTCCAACCGGTCAACCGGCCAGCCTGACGTCATATTTCCCGACCGTCTTGCCCCATGTCCTTCAGCATTCATTTTCATTTTTTCTTGCGATGGGCACTTCAATTATCCCCAAGATGTGTACGCACCGGCGGGTCAAAGGAGTTACTGTGTGGCATGGCACCATCCTGCCCACGTGGATTGCTACGGCCAATAACTGTGTGGCATGACACCGTCCTGCCCACGTGGATTGCTACGGCCAATAACTGTGTGGCATGGCACCATCCTGCCCACGTGGATTGCTACGGCCAATAACTGTGTGGCATGGCACCATCCTGCCCACGTGGATTGCTACGGCCAATAACTGTGTGGCATGGCACCGTCCTGCCCACGTGGATTGCTACGGCCAATAACTGTGTGGCGTGGCATCATCCTGCCCACGTGGATTGCTACGGCCAATAACTGTGTGGCATGGCACCATCCTGCCCACGTGGATTGCTACGGCCAATAACTGTGTAGCATGGCACCATCCTGCCCACGTGGATTGCTACGGCCAATAACTGTGTGGCATGGCACCATCCTGCCCACGTGGATTGCTACCGCCAATAACTGTGTGGCATGACACCGTCCTGCTCACGTGGATCGCTGCGGCCAATGAGCCATTAACTGTGTGGTATGGCACCGCCCTACTTACTGTACGCGTTGCAATCCATTCCTCTATGCTTTGTTGCAAAGTCTTTTGGTTTTGGTGCTGCTGTGACAGGAATTAATGCATTAAAATAGATGTAACAGCAGAATTTACAAGGAACCAGGCCATGAAAATGCATACGTAAAGAAAACCCGCAGGTTCCTGCTATCAAGGTGCCGCTTTTAAGATGCGTTGCGTCATGGCCAGTATACAGCTCACTCATACTGTGTGGAAGGAACGGCGAGCCCAGTGCCGCAATGCCGCTGGATTGTGCCTTGCGGCACCTCGCTCGGCACAGTATTTGGTGTCACTGGATAGTGCATAACGTCGCTGGACGGTGCCCAATGTCGCTGGGTAGTGCCCAGTGTCGCTGGGTAGTGTCCGATGCCGTTGGACGCTGCTCTGCAACCTTTCCTGTCGACCACGTAAGCAGCTCGTTTTTATTTGTGGTCGTTATGTGGTACCAGGGGTATGCTTGCTGTATGCTCTATTTCGCTTGTTCTTTGGACACCACAGCATGTCGCGCTTGGGAACCTAAGCGTCAAGGGGAAGTAACGGTACAAAAGTAGCAGCGGTAAAAAGTGAGGGTGCCCCCCAGCACCCTTACTTTTCACCGTTACTACAGTTGATAAAAAACACTCATCTCACTAATAAAGTCGTACAAAGTTGAGTGGATGGCGTCTTAATTATTGCCTGTTTATTTAGTCCCTTGTATCAATGTCTCTTACATCCACGCGCAGTATCCTCAAGTAAAATGATACTCCGATCACATTCCATGGTAGTGCGCCTCGGCATCATCCGGTGTGGTTTTGCCAGGGCGTCTACCGTTATATTAATCCATTGACTAAAAATCACAACACAATACATAAATAAGCAGTCAATGGCGGACCACGTGAGTTGTAGACAAAAGTATTTCATAACGAGCAACACTACCAATGCCAATTGTTCAACGATGTTTGCTGTAGCCACCTGTTTCGGAAAATTTTCGCTGTTACCTCGGTTGAATACCTTGGAGATCCGAGATTCTCAGCTCTCAACTGAGTTCTCACCAGAGGCATTATGAAACACACCCGAGCAGCACGATCCATCGCCACGTTTTTTTGTGGAAGATCCCAAAGTCGTGGAAAATAGTGCTTCAAGGGAGATGAAAATCACAGGCAGGAAATGCTTACGTTCTTTCCGTAAAGCCTCTCTATGCAGTTACGCGGTTCTCGTGCACTGGTTGCGGACTCTGACTTCTTCTCGGCTTGTTCGGACTCGTGGTAGCAGTTACCCTGAGAAAAGAAACAGAGCTTGATGGCCTCTTGACACTTGTTGAAATCGCGCGACGGCCTGGCCAGGACCCGGTCCATGACGACCAGGTGTCTGATCAGCGGCTGCACGTCCATGGGCGTCCCGTCCTGCTTCAGCTGTCCCAAAGCCTGCAGATAGGCCTTCCTCGACCTATTGAACTCCTCCACGACCACCTTGTTCTTCTCGTGGTAGCAGTAGAGGGGCGGCGCGTCGCAGAGCTCACAGCGGAAGAACTCGCGCTCGGGCAGCTCGTTGTGCGGCGCCCAATCCTCGGTGCAGGCCCGGCAGTGGCAGGCGAAGTGGTATTGCTTCCGCAACGCCTCCTGCCGCTCCGTCCAGTCCTGCACGGCCCAGTGATAGCCGTAGTTGTCGAGCAGCTCGTGGCCAGCGGGCACCGGCCGGATCACGTGCACCACGCAGCTCGTGCCGTGACTGACGCGCAACACGTTCGGGTCGCACGAGTGGTTCAGCAGGCTGACGGTGGGATAGACAGCGGCGCCCACCTCGCGCAGCTCCGAGTCTGACCCGCAGCGCACCTGCTCCGACACCTCATGCGCGTTGCAGGGAAGCGACTGCAGGTAGTGCAGCAGGACCGCTGCCGTCTCCTCAAGCGCCGCCGTCTCACCATCTCCGGGTGCTGCAGGGGACGTATCCCGTAAGTCGTTCGTCTCCGGTGGCGTCTCCGGTGAGCCGCCCGTCCCCGGTGGCGAACCCTGCGGGCCGTTCGTCTCCGGTGGCGTCTCCGGTGAGCCGCCCGTATCCGGTGGCGAACCCTTTGAGCCGTTCGTCTCCGGTGGCGAACCCTGTGAACCGTTCGTCTCCGGTGGCGTCTCCGGTGAGCCGTTTGTCTCCGGTGGTGCCGCCTGTGAGTCGCTCGCCTCCGGTGGCGTCCCCGGTGAGCCGTTTATCTTTGGTGGCGTCTCTGGTGAGCCGTTTGTCTCCGGCAACGTGTCTTGCGAGCCAGTTGTCTTCGGTAGCGCCTTCCCTTTACCCCTTAGGCACCTTGGCAATGTATCGTGTGATCCTTTTGTCTGGGGGGACATCTCTTGCGATTCAATTTTCTCCGGTGACATCACGTTACATCCGTTTGCCTTTGTCTCTTGCGATCCGTTCTCCTTCGGCGGCAGCACCAGTGGTATGCCGATCTTTCCCGTCATGTCCTGCGCTCGGTTCGTCTCCGGCAGCGTCTCCCGAGACCCGTCCGTCTCCTGACTTCCGGCCAGGTTTGTGTGGTGCAGCAGTTCCGCCAGACAGACGGCCGTGGCTGTCCTGCGGAACAGGTCGGCCACCGAGCGGCGCTCCGTGTGGCCCACCAGGCCGGCGGCGGGCGGCGAAGGCGACGCACCCTCCGCGCCGTCGCCGCCGCCGCCGGCGGCCAGCCTGAGCTCCGAGACGAGCCGGAGTGCCAGCAGCGCCATCGGGCCGACGTCCAGCGCCACCAGCTGGTTCAGCAGGCCGCATTCGAGCCGGTGGAGCGGCGCTGCCGCCGCCCGGCACCACTCAGAGCAGAACAGCACCTGACGGCGGGGCAGCACGGTATGGACTGGAGACAGCACACGGCACCGGCACCACTCAGAGCAGAACAGCACCTGACGGCGGGGCAGCGCGGTACGGACTGGAGACAACACGCGGCACCGGCACCACTCAGAGCAGAGCAGCACCTGGCGGCGGGGCAGCACGCCACGGGCTGGGATCACGGCACCAGCAGCACACCCAGCAAGGCATACCGCGCTGGCCGAGCATGTCAGGGCACTAGGCTGTGCATGTAGCACTGACCGGGCGTACAGGAGTGAGCACGGCAAACCCTGCCGACTAAGCACACCTGAGCAATGAGAGCGACATGCCTGAACACCGATAGTGACACACCTGGACACCGAGAGCGACATACCTGAACACTGAAAGTGACATACCTGAACACCGAGAGCGACATACCTGAACACCGATAGTGTCATGCATGGACACCGAGAGCAACATACCTGGACACCGAGAGCGACATACCTGAACACTGAGAGCGACACACCTGGACACCGAGAGCGGAGAGTGGTATACCGGGGCGCCGAGAGGGGCATTCTTGGAAACGGAGCGTGACAAACCGGAACACTGAGTGTGGTACACGGGGAAACCAAGCTCGTATACCTGAACACCGAGGGCGGCATACCTGGGCACCGAGCGCGGCGTACGGGGGCACCGGGCACGGCACACCGCACTGACCGAGCAGCAGGCGGGGCAGGGCTCCCCCGCCTCTAGCCGGCGACAGCAGTGGTAGCAGTGCGAGGACCAGGCCTCCGGCAGCGCCGTCCAACACAGGGCCCGCTCTACGATGACCACGTCGCCTGGGGACAGCGGGTCGCCGCTCGGTCAGCGACCGGCCGCCTCAGCTCGCGGCGACCTCGGTGTCCGCACGCGGACCGCGGTCAGGGGAGCGCGGCCGTGCCGGGGGGCTGCCGATGGTCGTCACGCCGAAGGGAGAGGCGGTGGGAGTGCAGGTGGGGGCAGATCGAGCGGTGCGAGACCGATGCTGGGGGGATGATCAGACACTCTGCGAAGAACTAGATCTGCAGGGGGCGATGGCGTTGCAGAGGCGGTGCACGTGGGACCACGTCAGGTCACCCCATGCCATGTTCCCCCGCTGGACCAGTTGTGAGGGATGGATGGAGGTTTCCACACACCTGTGCCATATCACACCATTTGGGGTTTCCTCGGCCATTCAAGGCGGTCGAAATTTGAATGGATATGTTGTCTAAAATAATAATTTGTTATTGTTGAATGATCTCTGGCGAAGGAGGCACAAGTTGGGCAACGCCAGGGCCATTACACCTGAGACAGGATACCAAACTCCAACTCAGCGCATTATATAAATACTGCAGCTTCATTTGCGCAACTTGTTGGAACATTGTGTTGGAGGGCTACGATAGCGCCAAAGCAGCCGCCCGGATGCGTTGATAAATAGACCGAGGAACGGTACATGCTTTTTGCCGCAAAGCACTTAGTTGGAGCAGGTTTTTCAGTCAGTTATGATATGAGCCGCGCTCTTAGTAAATTTCCTTCCAATTCGCATTTGTGTATCGCGGTTCAAGCGTTGAGCACACCGTATTCCAGACGCTCAGCTGGTGAGCACCGGAGCCACGCAGAAGGCCAAGATCCACGCCCGCAGCAAAGCCTATACGAACGGCAAATACATGAGCGCCTCTGGTTCCACTTCAGCCTGTTGCGCTGCTCACGAACTCAGCGTTCCTTGCCATTCCGCTTAGATGCGGCCGGCAATTCGGGAAGGGATGGGACGTCACCCGGAACAAACCGCTTGGATACGTTGTTAAAAAGGGAAGATCGGGACGAAAGCTGCGGCGACCCGTGGTCGATCTATCTGCTGGAGAGGACATGAGAAGTCGTGGCGTGCATGGTTCGGCAGCGACAGCGAAGAAATCAGCCAGGTAATGAGAGGTGTGTGTGTGTGTGCGAGGGCAGACTCAGTCCTGGTGCCCGTGCCATCTCTGAAAACGTCCCGGCTGCTGCCAAGTCGGGGAGGGGGGGGGGGAAGATGGCCATTCCGGCAGATCGGGGCGGGGCTCATTCGGTTCACGTGGTACCTCGGCTGGTAAGCCGCCGCGGCCGGCAGCCAGCCTGCGCTACTGCCGGGCCTCGGCTGGTGTGCGCTGTGACACGTGACTTGCTGAAAATAGAGGTGCTCCTGTCAGACCGGCCCAGAGTCGGGCCACTTGGATATCCGCACGCGACAATGGCAAAGATGTTGGGTGACGTACAAGGATGACCACTCGAACCTTGGGCGAGCCTTCTTCCGAAACGCGATTTACTGGAACGATATCCAACCCGTGTTGCGGACATTGCCTGCTAGTTCGTCATATTACACGTGAACTTGAAATCCAGAAATCCGCGCATAAGTACGGAAGCCTCGTCCTTGATCCTGCGCCAGGTATCACGCCTAATATGGAGCCTCCGCTACTTCTGCGCCTGCCAGCGCACAACGCTTAACGTTACGGTGCACGCGGCTCGCACCCACCTGGCTGCAGATCTCTGTTGGCGACCAGCATCCTACCCCTGTCCGGTGAGCTGGCGAGCTCAACGGCGGCCGAGGCGGCCGGCAGCGTCTGGCTGCGGCCGTAGGATGGCGCTGGCAGAGCTGGCGGCCGCGGCAGGCTGACCGCGCCGCCGCGGCCGCCGTCCTCGCCGGTGCGCAGGAGCTGGGAGACGCGCTCGGCGGCGCTGGCGCAGATCAGCCGGTCCAACCGGCTGAGCAGCGCACGCCGGCCGGCCGCGTCCAGCCGCGCCGCGCGCGCGTCGCGCAGCGCGGCGCAGAAGGCGCGCTCGGCGCCGGCACGGTCTCCTTGCCGGCGGCGCGCCTCGCCCAGCCGCTCCTGCAGCTTGTAGCGCAGTTCGGCCGGGTAGAAGTGGCCCAGCGCGCGCGCCACGTCTTCCTGACAAGGCCCGTACTGGCCCAGCTGGAAGAAAGCCGCCGACCGGTTGGCGAGCGCGAGGCTGAGTTGCGGCGCTGGCGCCGGCGGTGCGCGCATCGCCGCCTCCGTGTATGTGCGCAGCGCGGCGGCGTACTCGCCGCGGCCGAAGCAGGTGTTGCCAGCGGCACGGAGCGCGTCCGAGTCGGCGGCCGACTTCGGCCGGCTGCTGTCGGAGCCGCGCAGCTGGCGCAGCGGCAGCGCCTCCGGCAGCGCCAGCACGAGCCGCGCGCGCTCAAGGTCCGTCGGTAGCCGCGCGAACTGCTCGGTCACGGCTTGCACGCGGTCGCGGCGCACCAGTTCTGCGTGCACGTCCCGCAGCAGGCTCTCAAAGTCGACCGGAACAGCCATGGCACGGCGGGTGCTACCGACGAGGCGCCGCAGTCACTCCCGAGGAGGCTGCCCGCCGCCGCCCACCGCCTGCGGCGGTCACGTGACTCGGCGGCGGGCCACCGAACACGGCCGCCGGCTATTTCTGGCGGGGGGCACGCCGCCCCGGTCGGACGCTGACGGACCAGTCTGGCTCGCTGCTGCCCGCGGCGGTCTCCGCCGGACGCCGCCGAGATGAGAGGACCTGTGCGCTCTCACATGGGCCTGTGATGACGCCGATGGACCACTTGAACTTGGCTGGACCACGTGGCGGACGGACCGACGTCCCTCTCCCGGATCACTGTCGGAACTAATGAAACGTCTCGTTTCTTGGAGTATTTGACAGCTCCAGTGTGCGGCTCTTGAGTTAGCTTAATGAATAGGCCCGGCGGCTTCGGTGCACGACGGGCCAAGACTTTATATCTGATGAACTTACAACTTCTTAGCACATGGAATCGTCCAAAATGACCCAATGAAAAGCAAAGTGTGGTTTCTGCACATTGTGCTGCTAAACCAGACGACTGCTTGCGGCAGTATTGTCTGACTATCGCAGCATCTTGAGATCCCTCTCGACCTGTGACTGGTCAAGTCAGCATGAACGTTTAAAGGGACGTCACCTTACCGGTCGCGGTTCAAAGCCGGGTACTTTTAAGTTCGAGGAGGAAGAGACGTGTGTACCGTACCTGGATTAAGTGCAGTTTAAGAGTCGCGTACAGCGATAGGTGCAATTTAGCAGTCGCATCCGGCGACTTGAAGCTTACCAGAAGATGATGTAATTTTTAAGATGATATCCATTGCCAGCGAATCACATTTGTTTGCATTTTGAGGTGAATCTCAAAATAGCAGCTGCTTCTCTCGCATTACTCCTCAGGGTTGGCAAACATTGGACCACTTCCTCGTGCCGCAGACCTGGCCCGCTGCCCAGACCCGTTTCATAAAACAGAGCAGTGCGCTGGTGTAGTCGCAATCTGAAAAAGGCGACGGCGTCGTGACACCGAGAAGATGGCTGGATATCTAACCAATAGTATGTGTATTTATGTATTGTATTGCTGCTTTTGTATGTCGATATGTTAGTATACCCAAGATATGCGTAAACCTATGTGTTTGTGGTGATTTGTGCATGATTCTATGAAAATGTTTGGCGTACCTACATTGACGTAATTTTCTTTTGCATGCACACATTTTTAACTTGACCGCAACATCACTCACTCAGCCTGTCTTACTAACTCCAATCACATGCGATAAAGGGCTGATTATGCAGACGCCATCATAGTGCAACATGGTGATGAGATACGTATGTAGGCGTGTCGAATTGACGAAGTAAATCAGCACTGCCAGCTGAGAGAGCACGCTGACGAAGTAAGTGACTGGGCAACAGCAAGCAAGATGACATTAAACACCGACAAGTGTCAATTCATGCATTTTGTCACAGGCAAGAAACCATTACCACTACCGGACATCATAATTCCAGGAAAAAGCATGCCAGCTACCACCAAACCTGAGCTCTCTCTCTCTCTCTCTCTCTCTCTCTCTCTATCTCCTCTCTCGCTCTCTCTCTCTCTCTCTCTCTCTCTCTCTCTCTCCTCTCTCCTCTCTATTCTCTCTCTCACTCCTCTTCTCTCTTTCTCTCTCTCTCTCCTCTCTCTTCTCTTCTCTCTCCTACTCTCTCTCCTCTCTCTCTCTCTCTCTCTCTCTCTCTCTCTCTCTTCTCTCTCTTCTCTCTCTCTCTCTCTCTCTCTCTCTCTCTCTCTCTCTCTCTCTATCTCTCTCTCTCTCTCTCTCTCTCTCTCTCTCTCTCTCTCTCACTCTCTCTCTCTCTCTCTCTCTCTCTCTTTCTCTCTCTCTTCTCTCTCTCTCTCTCTCTCTCTCTCTCTCTCTCTTCTCTCTCTCTCTCTCTCTCTCTCTCTCTCTTCTCTCTCTCTCTCTCTTCTCTCTCTCTCTCTCTCTCTCTCTCTCTCTCTCTCTCTCTCTCTCTCTCTCTCTCTCTTCTCTCTCTCTCTATCTCTCTCTCTCTCTCTCTCTCTCTCTCTCTCTCTCTCTCTCCCTCTCTCTCTCTCTCTCGCGCAATGATATGGCAAATTTTGCCAATTCAAGATGAAAAGTGCATGAGAAAGAAAGCTCCCCTTTGTCAAACACCGTTTTATTAGCTGAAAAACAGAATGTAGAGATTTTGACCACTTCAAAACGGACAAATGCAAGGACAAAATTCAGAACGCTGCCCTGTGAAGTGGGGTTGGGCTGGCGGGGACGCTGGGAAGGGGGCTAAATCTAAGAGCTGTCTCCTTTACGATCTGATACGCATGGGTAGTCATTTCCCTCCGGCTTCGTCACCTGCGTTTGTTGCAGCCCTTGGCGCAATACTGGGTTTTTTTTTTCTTAGAAGATGGGAGCCCGAATTATGGGTTTGTTTTCGTTATTCCTGGGATTTCTATATTCTGAGAGTTTTGTATCACTTGATATTTTGGATATTTTTATAGGCAATGTTTCACAGTCAAAGATATTGAGGCAGGCATCAGATATGATGCATTAAGCTAACGTGTACTTATCGGTATGCTGTTGAGTTCGAAAGACTGCTGCAGTCATCAGAATTTCTATATTTAGTAAGTAAGATTCCCAATACATCATCATTTGATTGTGTCATGGAACGTCTTTATGACGTCACAGTCGCCGCCACTGTAGCAAACGGGCTGACTCACTTGTAGTATTTGATCTTGCCGAGAAGTGGCGTGTTAACTGGTGCGTGTTTGCTGACCCCGGATATCGTTATGTGCACGTGTTTTTGTACCTTCTCGTGGTGTCATTGTTTATGCATCCTTGGTTGTATATGTTTTACTTGCATTCACATGTTCCGTTACGCCGCATTTCTTAATTCAATCAATTTCCTGTCCCATTCCGTCATAACTAGTACCACTGCCAAAATTCCTCTGATATTTGGTAGAAAACATGGTTCATATTCGAAAGTTCCACCCAACGCATTAAATCGATTAAAGGCAACTGCTGTCCGTTGATGTCATGAGTTGTGCTTCTGCTGACATCAACCAGACACGAATAATTCAACGATCATGTTTTTCGTGTTCTTGAGCACTGTGAGGCCAATGAGGCGGCGGTATTCGCAGGGCATTTCTATGACGTCATGCATATCTAGGTGGCCTTCAAAAAGGCTGTGCGAAGTAGTCCGTACAAATTTGTATCCGTCGAGCATGGAAAGGGGGGTTTGAAATCTTTTAAATGGCATGACTGGAATTGCACTGAGTGATCTAAAATGTTACCATCCCAAAACACATACCAATGTGAAATACTCCTGTCAACAGATTGCACGGAATTTGCACAAATTGTGCATAGATTCAGCGATTTCCCGCATTTTACAAGTCCTCGTGTTTTCATTTGATTATTGATTAGCTCATTCGTGACCATGAGCGCAACGAGCACGCGGGAGCACGCAGAAATTCGTAATTTGTGGGGTAAAGGAACCCGAAAGGTGCTAAATTGCGTAAAACAAGATTGTACTTTTCAGTAAGTTTAAATATACGTACCCGTAAAATAAGCTGTTGGAGATCTGCTTATTTTTCCACGTCTATCCAGAGCTTGTTGGTCTCATTTTTTCGCAAACATTTTGAGGCATGCGCATAATGTATTAACATAACCGATGCTGTCTCGATAACGTCGTTTAAAGTATCTCCTGATAAAATATTCTTGAAAGGTTAAACATTTTAAGCATAAGACCTCCCCAGGCATAGTCTTAATTCCACTTCTGCCATAAATCCAATACATTCTCGGATCATATTGAATTGCCCAATGGTACCAAATTACCCCAGTTCGCCGTTCATACCCACGTATCATGTTTCCCACATATCTTCTGTGAATTGTCGCTCCTCCCTCATATGGAAGCCTGGGAGCCGTAAAACATGTTACCTGCAGGCCCCAAGGACTTAAAAGTCACGCCCTGGCACTCTCCCAAGGTCTTATTCCAGGGCGCACGCGTAACGCGTGGGCCCGTCCATGGTATGATACGGGCGTGCACCATGTGTCAGAGAGTGTACCCGCATGCCGCGCGGGTCGCCCGGTGGCAGGTGTGCCAGAGTGTGTACGCAGCTGGCTCGCCGTTATCAGGTGCGACGGGAGCCGGTGGTGGGCGGGGCGTACGGGGCGCGTGTGTGTGGGACGGTCCGGCGGTGGGTGGTTGCCGAGGTGCTGGGCGCGGCTTGGAACCAGTGGCCATGGCAGGCGACGGAGCAGACTTCGAGGCGACATACAAGAAATTGTGTGTGGCTTTGTCAAAACAAGGTCAGGTCAAGGATCTTACCAAGGAGTTCAACTCGATGCGCTCGGATGACTCGCGCGTACGTTTTCTCCTCGCGTTGGACGCGGTGCGCGCGCCGCCTTTTGAATTGAAAGCGAAGCTGAAGTGTGCCGAAGAGAGCAACAGGCTGCGCGCGGAGGGCAACGCTGCGTACGGCCGGCGCGGTCAGGAGGCGGCTGCGCTGGAGTTGTACACGCGCGCGGTGCTGGCGGCGCCGGCCGACGACGGCCCGGCGCTGGCGCTGGCGCTGGCCAACCGGTCTGCGGTGCTGCTGAGCCTGGGCTGGCTGGGACCGTGCCTGGTGGACATGCGTCGCGCGCTGCGGCATGGCTACCCGCAACAGCTGCGGCCCAAGCTGGAGCAGCGGCTGCAGAGGGTGCGGCAGGAGGCGCAGGCGCGCTCCTGCCCGGAGCTGGCCGGCCCGCTAGACTTCAACGAGGACGCGGCAGACGAAGACGATGAGCGACTTGTGTCGGGTCGGTGAAGTGCCGTGATCAGCGACGGGTTGTCACTTGAACACGGTACCGGATGTAGGTACTATGTGTCCCGTTTTGTTGTTCACTTAAAAATATCAAGTCACAATTACAAGCCCACAAGTATCCACCGTGCCTAGCTAGCAGTAAGGACATCGTGCACTTCTTCATGCTGGTTTGTCTGTTCCAGGCGCCTTCAGAGGGAAGCCCGCCCCCGAGCTGGAGTCCATCAATCGGAGCATGCCGTCGGCGTGTGCCGCGGTGGAGGTGCGCCACACGGACGAGAGGGGTCGCGTCCTGGTCGCCACGCGCGCCATCTCGCCAGGTGAGCCGCCCAGCTGATGCAGGGACGCGGCGCCATCTACCACCTGGGTGACGCTCCTGTCGCCGACTGGAAAGGTTCTTGGTGCTTCCAAGCGCGCGCGCTGGGGCGGGTGCGTAGACGCTTTCGGTGACATTGCTTTTGTTCGTCGCCTTCTGTCAAGATCCAGTTAGCAGAAGCCTTTGATGTGACTTGTGCAAGGTCTGTCAAAGAGACAGTGTAGAAGCATCTGATGTGACTTGCTCGGGGAGAGCGAGACAGTGCTGCTGGTCCACCGGACCTACATGTACATGTTACATGTGCATGTAGGCGCGCAGCTAGAGCCTTGGCAAGGAGGGGGACCCTTGACGAAGGGCTCCCCGATAGTTGTTGCCCCCTCCCCCCCTCAAAAACTCGCCAGATATGACCCATTCTTAAAGAGGGCATGCTTTTCATTGATATTTTTCGTTTCTTCCTTTGAACTGGAATAGAAGCCACAAGCCACCCTGGAATAAATGCTTAGTCAGTTTTACAGTCAACAAAGTGAAGAAATCATGCGTTCAACGATTGCATGAAATAAATCGCCGCCGCTCTCCGTTTTTCAATGGTTCGGTGGACTCGCTTTAAACCGATAGAACTCAGAGGCGTAGTCATAATTTGCATCTGGGATCCACAGAGATGTTACGCATCCCACGAATGTAGATTATAGACCGAAATGGGTCAGCAATTTTTGCCAAGCTGGCCAAACCATGTTTGTCCGGAAATGTTAAACATACGATCGGAATCGATTATTGATGCAAATTATGTACGTAGTTTTGGGCATGCGCGCTCGCAAATCGTCTACCAAAAACCTCGACTCTAGGAATCGTATCGTCATCCGTCTTGATAGTGTGGTCGCGGTATGGCCGATGCATGAGTTTGGTCGACGTGCACGGTCGTCGATGGAGCATTTAAACTCTTAGATGACGTTCGTCATTTTCAGTGCTGGGTTCTTTGTGGACAGACCGTTTTTTGCACTTAGGTTCAATATTCTGAGCTCATGGAAGGGCCCCATTTTGATGCGCATTGGTGTAGAATGCCACCATGCTGGCTTAGTGCAGGCAAGGTGCAACTGACAGCGCTGGAAGCTTGTCATATCAGGGACAAAGATCCAGCATGCCGCCGGTACGTGGATGTACGGGTAATGCCGTGCTTAGGGGATGGACAGCATGTGCCACCTAGAAACGGGCCGTAAGAAGGGGGGGGGGGGCAATAAAGCTGGGTGGAGGCTTCACAAGTGTTTGTTGCTATACGAGGTACCTAAGGGTACTGTGCTTGATAGAAACTTGGTCATAAAACCGGATGACATGTTTTTCATAAGAGAAATGCAGAATTTTGTGCCGATGGGGCCACGAATGCCTTGTTGTTACGTGCAGTTTGTGCTTATGTATGCTGTGCTTGTGATTATGTCTGATGATTGTGACAGGACCAATGAAATGTTGCAATATGACGTAGGCAACCTCCTTGACAGATTTTCGGTTTTTTCGAATTAATTGTTCCCTATCTTTTCGGATGGAAAAGGATTTGCTCCGAGAATTAAATCATCTGAAAAGCAGGTACATGTTAGATAGGTTGTAATTTTCAATGAAACTTGTCGCATGGAAAAGCTGCTTCTTCACTTCACTAATGTGGCTGTTTAGAAATGAATCTTATCTTAAAATATGTCAAAATAGATCACAATGTTTTGCATTGGTGGGCTGTGTACGCATATTGGGGCATGTTCATATGTTTGTGTGCTTAAGTATGCTTCAGCGGGTATTGTAGTTTTTTATTGATTGCAATCGAACAACCCAGAACAACAACACTCATAAACAAGAAGGCCATAATTGTTTTCCATACCAATTACAAATGGGAAGTAAGTTCTTCAGCCAGGATTTTGCTCACAAGGTGCTAAATTGGGCCATTCGGCTCTTTCAGTCAAGAGGACTCCCCTTTGTCGCTACACGGGCCGTTTTATGTGCTCAAAAGACCTTTTGAAGCTTGTGTTCTTATTTTGATGCAGCATGGGCGGATTGTTTATTGCTTCAGGAACCCTGTGTGCGTCTTAAACTGCAAAGGGCTATAGGGTTTTCAGCCCTAGGGTCCCCGCTACCTCAAGGAATGGCGTATGGCCTGAAGGTCTTGGCTACGCGCCATTGAAAATAAGTGTGATGGATGATAAAATATATCAGACAACTTCAAGACATGACTAGTTCTGGGTGGTAGGGCAAACTGTCCTGCCTTTGGAACCATGGAATGTTGCGGTCGCCACAACGGTGTATGTACACATGAGCGCTAATGTGTATATATATATATATATATATATATATATATATATATATAAGCAACATGGTCATAAGTGTGTTTGTGTGTGTGTGTGTGTGTGTGTGTGTGTGTGTGTGTGTGTGTGTGTGTGTGTTGTGTGTGTGTGTGTGTGTGTGTGTGTGTGTGTGTGTTTGCGTTTGCGTATATGTGTGTGTGTGCGTGTGCGTGTGTCAATAAATGTGCGCTTTTCCTGTGCAGTGATAAGCTGTCCACGTCTGCGCTCCAGAGGTTGTTAGAGCGTTTGGTACCTCTGGTATTTTTTAAATGGAACTGAATAATTCTAGTCGTTCGCGAGCCATGTTAGGCAATCCAGAATCCGAATCATCCAAGCTGCCAATGCATACGAAGCCTAACTGGATAAATGCCAAAACGGGAACGATACCGAAATCGGATTTGATTCCGTGAACGTCAAGCATAAGTCTGCCAGCAACATTTGCCTGACGTGCACGTATGCAGCTGTTCTGGTGCTCGGGCGCAGTGAAAGCACATCACTTCGATGGAAATCTGTGGACTTTTTCTCGTACTACCACAATATCTCATCGTTCAATAGTTACATTCACAAATATCGGACAAGTGTGCCCTTTCCGTTTCGTCTCGCGAACATAATTTCCGTCAACGTATTCAAGAATCCTGGTTACAGTTTATGCTGACGCCATTTTGTTATCACCGTTGTCTTGCGACCCCAGCTAAAATGTTGACCAGGGACCTCCTTGCTTCTCATAACGCTGCACCCTTTCTTCCTTACCATGGAGGATCTTCACCGCCGTAGAACGATGCTTTGATCCTGAGGTAAGCTCACATTGTCCCCTCCCCACCCCCTACCAACGTGTGTTGTAATGGTGTGAGGCATCCCACCTTTCCCTTAACCGTGACATTTCAGAGATATTTGTGCACCGGGCATGTGGCACGCGCTGAATTCCACTGGTGACACCGCATAGTTCACAAGGGACTGTGCAGAAACTCATGAACTGAGTATATTTTTTTATAAAATTAAGATATTGGCCGTCCGCCATATTGCTTTCCAAGCCTGTTCGCCTTGAAGTATCGATCTGCACCACAGGCATGCTCCAGTTCCACCTCAGGCTCAACTCTGCCCCTCCACACCGATATAGCTATATCTCTCTCTCTCCCTCTGTCTCTCTATCTTTCCATACCTTCATCTAACTTTCTTTTAATTTATATCCCCATCCCCTTTCTCCCTATCTCCCTATATCCGTGTCGCTGCATTCTTTGTTTCGACGCCTTCCTATCAGGGGTATAGTTCCCTATTCAGTCGAGGGTGGGGGCTCAAGCCCCCCCCCCCCTCGGCGAACATTATCTTCTATCCCCACTCCCAATCCTTGAGAAAAAGTGAGCCAAATCCGTGGCGAAAGCCGTCTGTTGGCGTGTTTTGTGTTAGGTTGTCGGCGTCGTATTCTGCTCATCTCCTCAACTTATGTCGTGGAACTTCACCCCTGTTCTCGGCTATCTGCCTGCCTGTCTCTCTGCTTGTATATATATATATATATATATATATATATATATATATATTGTTCTCTCCCTTCTCCGCCTCTTCCTCCCCCACCTTCACTTGCGCCCCGTTCCCCCTCCCCCTGCCTCCGCTTCCTCAGATGTCCAGTGAGTATGAACTGCGGTGTTATTCTCCATATCTCACCATTCCCACTTCTCTATACCATGACTTGTTTCAGCGAATGTTCTCTGGACGTCCCCGAATGTTCTCATGATTTCCTCGAACGGTGTCTTGATTACCCCTAATGTCTTACCTCAGTGACTTCCCCGACTGCCGTGATGTTGTCGTAGGCCTAATTATCCCCACCCCGCACCGATATGAAATGTTACCAGCTGCAACCCAACGACAGGGGTCAGCAATCCCCACCCTGCACCGATATGACATGTTGCCAGATGCAACCCAACGACGGGGGTCAACAATCCCCGCCCCGCACCGATATGAAATGTTACCATCTGCAACCCAACGACAGGGGTCAGCAATCTCCTGTCTTGTGTTAACTTGTAATGATCCCAACGAGCAATGTCTACCTCAATAAAAGTAATGTCTTTTTCCATCTATTTGCTAATACCAATAGATCACATTATAACTCACTGTGGACAATATGTCATCAATTCCTCGGCATGAGTGATGTGAGTAAAACACAAAACTACGCAGCTTAGCACAGAACCCACACGCTGCGGTCTATGTTGTTTGTGATTCACTGAAGGAAGATGGATCTGAGCTTATAATCATGGAGTGAAAAGCATAAGACTGCGCCACTTGCCCATGCGTACTGCACCATTACGCTGGCGGCTTGTGGTACCTGATTTGCGTAAGCGTAAGCGGTTTTGGTGAGCACATCAACAATCACTGTGACCGCAAATTACGCGTGTGCTATCGGAGTGTCCTCGCTTGTTTATGCTCTGTCATTCGCCAACGTTCACCGTGTGCCCTCCCCCTCCCTCCCCTCCCCCGTACCCAACTTTTATTTGCTGGCAATATTGCGATTTCGTTGATCTGGAGTGGATATTCTTTGCCTTATGCATCAGCGACATTTCAGATTGGTTTGCTTTGTCCTCCCATTTTCATTTTTGTGTAATGATGCTACCTGACGCGCGATGAATTGCCGGTATGTTGATTTGCCAATTCTGCCCCCCCCCCCCCCGAAACACTAGTTTGCCATGGAAGGTGTGTTATTGTTTTGAAGAAGTCAGGTCCACGTTCACCTCTTCGTTCTGTAATCGTTTAACTCCAAACGTGTGATATTGAAACGTACTCCGTGAGAGTAGCGTTGTATGCGGGCGTTGCGGCAGATCCGGATGCCCCGTCCGCTTGCTGAGAATGCTCACCTCGGGGCCGGCGCGCGCGCGGCCCTTGACCCCGATCCGTGTGGGGTGTGCACGTCAGGTGAGCTGCTGGTGGTGGAGCAGCCTTACTGCGCCGTCCTGCTGCCGGAGGAGACGCAGGGTCACTGCCACCACTGCTGCCGCTGGAGTCCGGCGCCGGTCGGCTGCCTTCACTGTACGGAGGTCAGTCCGTACGCTCTCGCCCTCCCCCTCCCCCCCTCCCCCTTTCTCCTCGGTCAGACATTAACCGTATCGCTCCGCCCTAGGCCGGGCCAGGCACTGCGGCATGTGGCCTTCGCTGGCATGAGTACTTTTAACTGGGAGGCAGTTATACAACATGGACCCGGACAGGTCCTTCCGACAGTGTTGTACCGTACGTTCCTTATCTTCCGACTGAGGGGCCCGCGTTTTGTGCGGGCGCCCAGTCTCGTCGCGATGACGCGAGTGGCCGAGGACGCTGACCGGAGGACGCCTGGCCGCGCGCCGACAGGTGCGGTTCTGCAGCGGCCGCTGCCGGGCCGAGGCCTGGACGCAGTATCACGCCGTCGAGTGTGCCATCTACGGCCAGCTGGTGGCGCTGGACGCCGGCCAGATGGCGCTGCTGGCAGTGCGAGCCGTGGTCGTGGCCGGCTGGCCGCGGCTGGCGGCGGCGGCGGCTGGCGGTGCCCCGGACACGCCCGAGTACCGCTCCGACGACTACCAGCGCGTGCGCCAGCTGGTGGGTAACGCGGCGGCGCGGCCGGCCGCCGACCTCTTCAAGCGCGCGCTGATGGCGGTGACATTAGGCCGGCTGCTGGAGCGGTCCAGCCTGCCGCCGCCCGGCGCGGACGCGGCCGAGCGGCAACGCCGCCTGGTCACGCTGTCGGCCGAGCTGCTGCGCCACCTGCAGACGCTGCCCTGCAACGCGCACGAGGTGTCGGAGCAGCGGCTGCCCGGTGGGCGGCTGGCTGGCGCCACCACGTGCCAAGTAGGTGCCGCCGTGCTGCCGGTGCTCAGTCTCACCAATCACTCCTGTGACCCGAACGTGTTCCGCTGCTACCACGGCACGACGGCCGTGCTGCGCGCGCTGCGTCCGATCGACGCCGGAGGCGAGCTGCTCGACAACTACGGCTACCACTACGCGCTGATGGAGCGCGACGAGCGGCGCCGCGGCCTGGCACGCCAGTACTACTTCAGCTGCGCGTGCGCCGCGTGCCGGGCCGACCTGCCGCCATACGAGCGGATACCGAATGGGCGGCCGCGCGCCATCTGTCGCACCTGCACCGGCGATGTCGCCATGTGCGACCACGAGGCGGACGTGACCAAGTACGAGGCGGAAGTGGCGCGCGCCGCTGATGAGCTTCAGCAGGCCGTCTCTGCCGTGCTTGAGGAGGGGGCAGTCGACGTGAAGGACCGTGTTGGTGAGCTGATAGAGCTCTTGGATAGGCGAGTGAAGCTGCCGTGGAGGGGGCTGAACGACGCGCAAGAGGTCTTCAAGATGTGCTTTCTGATCAGCGGAGATGTGTGCCCGGACGGCTAGGCTGGAAGGGCTCGTCATTCGTATTGTGCTAGTCAGACTCCGCCAATGTTGGCGCCACCGCAGGACCTGCGTGGTGTGTGAACTGATTGTGCAAGACAATATGATAAACACAGGTTTGATATGCGCGATAAGGTAATGTCGGAGAAACTGGCTGAACATTATTTGAACAACTCATTTGGCCAGCGCGCTGACTTAAATAGTGATTTAATAAATATCGTTATCGTGAAACAGAACGAGTTATACCACCGTGACACGTGACAACGTCGCATAACCGTGTGGCAAAGTACAGGTACTTGAATGCCGTGGAGACCGATATTTGCCAGGTTATTCCACACGCTTGTTGGGGTCCGTTGGCCCTTGCCCTGCCTTCGTTCGGAGTCGGCCAGTCAGTATCAGGTCGGTTGGCGGCCAATACAGTATCTGTGCGTCCTGTGCAGGGCGAATCGGACAGGTCAAGATGTGCGAGTTATGGGTGGAAGGCAACGCATCAGCAGCAGAGGAAATATTGTGAAGGCCGAGACAGCGGCGGAGACAGACGTCCGACACCCAACTGTACTAATTTTGCTGCAATGCACGCCAATATCATAGTATGATGTTTACATCTCCTAGGTGCTCACACTAACCACGGGACAGGCAATATCGCTCCATCAGTGCCACGCCGGCCTTTGCCTCCACCCACTCGTTTTGTTCCGCTGCACGAGCGGCGCCATGACGCAACACCTGAGGGCGGGAGCCAGGAGAGTTTCTCCGCCGCGGCAGCGGGCGGCACTGGGCGGACCTGGCCACCGCCGCGGCCCAGCCCGACCACGAGCGCCTCTCGCGTGCTGGGCGAAGCTGCGAAGAGCTGGGAGTGCGGTCCCACGCCGGCGGCCCGACCGCCGTCATCGCTGCACACCGAACCCCATCATCAGCTGCCACCTTGGGCCAGTTTCCCGGAGTCAAGGACGCGTGAGCGGCGTTCGTGTCTGGCGTGTTGTGTCTGGCTGTGGATGTCGCCGGCGCACATCGTGTCTGGCTATCCAGCGCGCGGGTATCGTCTGGACTCATACCAAACGCCTGGCCCTGCTTGGAGGGGGGGGGGGGGGGGGGGGCAGGCAGGAACGCCGACTTTCTCCAGCCTATTTTGTAGATATGTGGGGCTGCTCTGATTCACCCGTGCATGATCAAGCAGCCACCCTCATTTCCCCATTAGGCATTGCCTTCTGATAGACAATGCGCCAAGTATGTCTTGTCTTGCTTGATGCAGCTCAATGCTTCATGCGGGTCAATGTTTCAGACAGGAAGCATTGCACGGGCAACGAAATTTTTCCCAAGTTGCATGGCTGATCGCCTTGCTTTTATACTTTCCAGCTAACCCCCATAGCCTCAATGCTAAATTTTTAGGGCTTCGAGCCTCCCCCCACTCCCCTTTACCGGTTCCCCAGCCACTGGCAGCCCCCCCCCCCCCCCCCCCGTCTCCCGCGCTCCTGGCGGCAGGTAACACTGGGGCCTGGCCTCAGACGTCGGTAAGCCATGCTTCTGCGGGCGTCGCTTGCAAGGTTCGGAAATGCTAGCCCACCGGGACATGTAGCAGTCAATCATAAAACTTCTCCGTCTGTTTATTGCGAAATATTATTGTTCGGCACATGTTCCTGTGCGTGTGAATGCATAGCAACGAGTGGCAGAGCATTATAATCTTTGGTATCTTAGAACAAATCTGCATAGGCCCGTTCCCTTTGTAGCATTTTGCTCCAAGAGTTTCGATGATCGGAGCTTTAAGCGTTTGGAATGGGAGAGTTGCCAAAAATTCGCTGTAAAAACTGTTTCAAAGGCAAACTCTGTGCAAGGTGTCAGCTTCTCGGCCGGTTGACACGGGGCTTTGCTTTACATGTGTAGGAACGTAGCCCTGTCATCACGACAGGCACAGCGGCACAGCGGTATTTTCTAACAACACATCTTTCAGTCTTCGATCATGTTTGATTGTGCTGCGGTTTCCATGTCACCGTTTTTGTTGTTGCTCTTCTTCTTTCTATCTATCTGTCTACCGCTTTTGTTCTAAAATCTTTGTTTTTTATCTGAAATCACGGACACATCCCAAGCTTTGTCCAGTGAGGGACCATTTTGTCCATGCGTGCCTTCTGGAACTTGGTTCCTCTCTCCCCTCACAAAAAATCCCCGGATTTCGGTCCCTTTGACTTGAGACTTTTATTTCTAAATCAGCAAGCATCTCCCACCTGAATGGTCCGCTGGATTAAATCAACTTTACTCTTAGAGGTCGGTTTTATTTTATTGTTATGTCTAACTTTTTGACTGAATGAGTGGACAGAAGCTACCGGAAAATACAGTTTATCCTGGATTTAAAAGTAATTCAAACGAAATTAAGAGGGGAGTTCCATACTTCTCGTAAAATTAATCAGCAAAAAAAATAATAAAACAGCTATAAGCACGCGCGCTGTTCGTCTAAAAGAAACGACACCGACGCCCTGCGTTGCAGTCTCTGCGGGCCGCACGGCGTTCGCACAGCCAACCCCGGCGACGGTCACTGGGTAGACGAAGATGACCATGCACTGGAAACTAGCACTTTCCAATGCTTCATCAAATCAATTGGTCTGTGGGAAGAGGATATCCCCGTTCGAAATTTTCATAATGTGCGCGATTTTCAAAATGATCCTCTGGACGGATTACCAATATGTACATCACTACGAACTCGTGACGCAGTGATGTAATCTCTCTTGCGCATGTTGCTGTAACTGATAATTACGTTTCAGGAATCAGCTCGAAATGGCACAGGTAAAATGTTCTGGCTGGGAGGTGAAATGCGTATCGTCCCATCCCTGGTCAGTACGGAGACCTTCAGGTGAATATATCATACACCGGCCCCTTCCCTGATGCGGCGGGCCCTCTGACCGGGCTATCTGGCACTGTAGGGGCCCACTGATACAAAATAGTCCCTTTCCGGCACTGGGAGTCCAATAATGTGCCCTGGCCAACCTGGGGCTCATTGCCGACACAAGGTCTCCTGTTGTTGTCAGCCGTTAGCTGCTGTTAGGTACTTCGCTGTTTCAAGGGCCGAACAATGCAAGAGACCTTCTGGTTGACATTTGCAGGCCCGGGTCTTGCCTCTGTTTTGGAAAGGGATCCCCTAGGGTCAAGACCGGCACGGAACCGACTGTTCGGTATTGGTGGCCTCAGCCCACTGACTGAGATAAGGACCCCTACTGTCCCAGGAGCCTCCGATCGGTGTAAGAGGTACTTCAAAATTTTGGGGGTCCGGCCTTCGGGCTGAGGTTCCTTATGTGACCTCCGTTTTTGTTTTGTTTTTTGGGCCATCATGTGACCGATTTGGACCGTCCAATCGGACCCTTGATCGCCGGCCCTAAGGGGCCCAAAAAACCCTCGGGACTCTCGGGCCTGAAGGGTCCCTACGTAAGGGTCTTTAAGCCCTTGTTTGCCCTCCCTATGGCTGCGCCCCCGGAACTTGATTCCTCAGGAAAATAAAGATTTGGGGGCATGTTAGATGCTACTTTGTTGAAGGGGCCAATCCAGGATATCATTAGAGTGGAAGACAAAGAAATTGTAGTGTCCCTGGATTTTGATGCCCCTTGAAATGAAAGCTTCGGAGCTCTTTCAATCACTCGTTTGGATTTGGTGCCTCCAGGAAATAAATGTTATGGTTCCCCGAAAGGAAGCTTTTGGTGTCTTCTTACCGAATGGGTGAATGTAGGATTTCACAATAGAGAGGTGCGGCCATTGTGGTGTCCCCTAGAATTTCTTAACTCCTGGAAATGAAGGTATTCGTACCTTTTTCGCTGACCCCTGAAGATTGGTGCCCCTGGAAAATAAAGGTTATTGCGCCCCAAAATAACGATTTTTTGGTGCTCTCTCGTCGAAGGGTTGATCTACAATTGTGTCAGATTCTAGGATGGTGTATAAATTGCGCCAGACCTCCTTATGCAACCGCCTTGAACCTTCATACCTGCTCTGAGCAAAATGGTACTGGTCTTCTTTTAAGGTCGGGGACCTTTCATGGCCTTGAGAAAATTGAGGTGCTAAAAAAACTAAGAGATTGCTTTTATTTTGGGACTTGAATAAGCGTCAAGGATAATGCTACGCGGTATGTTTCTAAAACAAATTGCTGACTCCGACCATTTAGGCCAGCGTCCGGTACTGCTAGATCCGTATTCCAGCATTTTTATTCTCCAGATCGGATGAACAGCTACAGCATTGTCATTCATCGTCATCCCGCTAGAAACATGTCTTGTGCTTTTGAGATAAGAACATTGTCTTGTGCCTTCCGAGTCAGAACACAGTTGGCCATGGTGCCCAGCCTCGAGCTCACTCGCTGTATCAGCAATCAGCGGCACATTTAGCCTTGTTTGTGAGGCGGTTTCGCTACAAGCGCTGGACCAGGCAGCATAGCGGGAACTGAAACGCGTGGTCAAGGCCATGACAGGCAGGGCCTGCGCCACGGATTTCGAGACGCGGAGCATTATCTTCCAGGGGGTACACCAAGGGTGTGTCCCCTTGCAACTAAAAAGAATCCTGACAGAGGGCCTCTGGACAGTGTCGCATTCAGGAGGAGGGACACCGAGGGTTAAAAAGAATCCTGACCGGGGACCTCTGGACAGCGTCTCATTCAGGAAGAGGGACACCAAGGGTGTGTGTCCCCTTACAACTAAAAAGAATCCTGAATGGGGCCTTCAAATTATTGACGAAAGGGTCTCGCTGACTTAAACAGGGTTTCCGGTTCCATAAAAACCGTTGATGCAAAGAGGGTTTCTTTTTCCAGAACAGCATGCTTCCGATCCACGAAGGGCCTCCAAATCTGGCCGAGGGGCCTCGTTTTCCAAAAACAGGGCATCCTGAGCCGGAACCGCGGTCACCTGATGCATGATAGCCCCCCCCCCCCCCCCCCCCCGTCTCAGATATGGGCCCTTCTAAATATGCCTGTCTTGTGAAGGGCGCCACTTAACCCAGAACAGGGGCCACCAAGCTTGTAATGGGGGTATCCCGGGCCAGCAATGGGAGCTTCCTTGGCAAAACATCAGGCCTCCTGATATAGAGCACGGGCTAATTTATTCATATATCGATGGCCTCACGATCCAAATGATCCAGAAAACGGGTCTCTTGATGCAGGAAAAGGGCTGCGGGGCCCGATGTAGTGCTCTCTACCCCTTTTATTGGGGCATCCTTGATCCGAATTTTGGTGATCTACTGTACTACAATGCCCTTAGACTGTTACAAAGGAGTCTCCCAATTTTGTTGTGGAGGGGGGGGGGGGGGTAAAGGTGTGTTCTGACCATCCGTCCCCACCCTTTACCCCAACCCCCACCACCTCTGCCGTTTCGCAGCTGATGACTGCACATTTTAGTAAACAAGTGCTCAGATTATTGCGGTGAACATTACGAATACTTACGAAAATCGAAGCGGTGGCAGTGTGTTTAAATGCGTGAGGCTACACGATCAACGAGAAGCTTCTCTATTTTGCCGACCCTGTATGGCCGAAGACAAGCTTTCAGGTGCGCAGAGGCTAACGGACGGTTGAGTAAGGGGTTCGGTTTTCCAGCTTCCTCCTCGGTAATACGCGTCTGCCATCTGTCGGTAGCTCCTTTGCAACATCGGTCGGCATCCGAGATTGCAGGAAAGCCTGCACTTGCTCATGCAGGCTTAGCTATGCCGCCCAGGTGTGCCCGCAGACACCGAGTAGCCCGCACGCTCCACCTTGATCCGAGTGACTCACGCTATATGGCAGCAAAATAACGTGGACAGGCGCGTCCGGGCTGCCACTGCGGCTCGCTGTTATAGGCACATGTAGGGACGTCCATAAATTACGTCACGTGTGTTACGGTATGCTTTCACTCTCCATCCGGCATGAGTTCGTCTTGTACCTGGTTAATTCACGCCGTGCCATGATCTCCCTGTCATGCACGGATACCCATATTTTATAGTCATGCTTGTTATGGAGCAATTCTTTGCAACGTTAACACCACGTTGCACATTGAAATAAATAGCATTTGAAGGGCTGGTTTGAGCATAATTCGCCACGCCACTACACTCGACCGGTGTTACGTTGTCATCTGCTTTTGTTCTTCCTTTGTACCGACCCTCGTTCGCTCATCTTGCAAATCGTTGCAAAGCGCATGTTAACCCCCGCCTACCGTATGCAGCCTGCAATCTTTTGTCAAGCACCGGAAGAATTATCCGCCATCTCTAGTGTTGCATAACTTGTGGACGGTACCTTTGTGGGCAGGACCTGTCTGATGTGACCTAAAGGTCTTAACACAAGTTGTTTTCTTTTTCTTTTTCTCTCTGCCAGCTTAGCTTTTTCCCCTCTCTCTCCCGCTCCTCTTTCCTGGCGGCCCATGCCGACGGATGCACCTGGTTCACAAACCAACCTAGCAAACTTCCCAGTGATTCATGGCGCCATTTCGCCAGCACAGGCGCTGTCCGCAGATGCATTTGGGTGAGGCGTGTTGGCAGCGAGACCTGATGCCAATCCCTGGACCACGGCCGCTCCTCTGGTGAAAGCCGTCGGAGGTATGGTTGGCCGGTCATTTCCTCCCCCACCGCAGCTGCGTTGGACGAATTGTGTTATGAGTCCAGAGGTTTTATGTTGTCAGTTATTGACTTTCAATATAATAGGAGATTGGTTAACCGACGTTATCAGGCAACACTTGTTTATTTTGTCAGTGCTCAATGTAACGGTATGATTGATACTGCAACTCATGTTTGCTTGGTATCTTCGCTTAACCAGAATCTCCCGGTGTAACGAATGTTGATAACCGTCAGAAAAGGAACCCTGCACTCAGTGCGTGAAAAAAGGGGGAGCCTAAGGCCTTTCTCGTTAACATCAAGTTATATTGACTACGTCCATTTGAAACACGAATGTTGGAAGATACCCTGGATCGCTGGCTCGTAGCGCAAGAGCATCACTTACTTTCGCTGTAGCGATTTTACAGATTTCATCTGCGAGAAATTACTTGCATCACTTCAGCCGCCACAAAAACGATCAAAAATAGGCAACGGCTGGGCCGAGCATATTCAGCTCCGGGGTGTAGTGTGTTTGCCAAGCTGTGCCACCCCGCCAACACATGCAAGCTGTGAATCACAACCCCCTCCGCTGAGATTGTTGGCACGCGATGAATTCGTGGAAGCTGCCAGATCACGACAGGAAATGGACAGCAAATGCGCTGCTTGTGAGCTATGACCTTGCCGACGCTCGCTTGTGTGTATGTACATGAGAACATGAACTTGCGGGACAATTTGGCAGCAATTTAGCAACAACGCTGTTCAGAGAGGCTAGACATTCGCTTCCTGATCAGGTTGGAAAGTCACTGTTCATGTAATGATGGATCCTCCTCAATGACAGTTGGCTCCAGCCGTGCAAGCGGTCTGTGGGTTGCTACAACGCAAAAAAAATTCAGCAAAACACGTGCAGGGGACTTGCGAGCGTAACGGCGTTGCAGAACAATTCATCGTCAACGGACAGTACTGCAAATGAGCTCATCATCTTGAGTGTCTGGAACTGCGATACTTGAGCATAGCAGTCGTAGAACGGGCCTTGTCGAGCGTGTATGGCGTAGTTACATTTCACGCTTTGTGGACCCAGGGTCATCAGTACCATGTCGGTGTCGGGTGCGCCGTGTAGGAGCTCAGGTCATGCTGCCACTATTGTATACGTTTGGATGCGGTTAAGCCAAGGTATATGCGAAACGTTATATTCTTATGAGATAATTCGTGGATACAAAGAGACAGGTGTAGGCCAGTCAATCATACGAAGGTAAAATAAACGGATGGGCGCTCCTCACCGATGGACGTTAAGCATAGTGCCCCATTAGGTGGCCATTAGCCGAGCTTAGCTGGGCATTAACCTTTACTCAAGAGCGCGACCGACCGCCATGGCAACTTGTCACATCGATCCCGTTTGACCTTTCCTGTCGCCTGCCGTCGGAGATGAGCTGCGATCCGTACCCGGTGACCCGGGTCATTGTGTTCTTGCCGTTCCCCCTCTCGCCTCCGTCAGCAGCACGCGCCTCCCAGCCCGGCCTTGGCCGAGCCCTGAGTCGCTGACCTGCGAGTCATGACTCAGGCCGGCTCCGGGGGAGGGGAAGCCGGCTCGCCAGGTCGGCGGCGGTGGCGGCGGCCGCCGCCGCCACAAACACCAGTTCAGGCGAGTCGGCCAGCCCGCTCGGCCACGGGCGGAGGGAAGGTGCGGCGTGCGACGGTCGCCGCGTCACCACCTGCAGGATTGGCAGCAGGCAGAGGACGGGGGCGCTGCAGGGAAGGCCACCGCTGCTGCTGACCGCTTTCGACGCCGGTGAGTGGCAGCAGTACCGTGACAAGTCAACCCGGTGTGGCAGTGCTGGTTTGATAAATCAACGGAGGGCACTGGGAGGTGGCATACGGTCAGATTTGATATCAAAACCGGAATGCTGCGCGTCTGGTTTTGGTTTTGGTTGGTCTGCTTTATGAACGATTTCGAGGGGAATGGTGGTCCATTCCTTTACTGCATTCGAGTTTGTGGTAATGCCTCTGGCGAAATGATGATATATAAAACGTCATGAACACCTGTGCTGTTGTCAGCGGTATTATTGTTTACGCAACATTTTGTCCGGTTTTTCTGGCAGCCGTCAGGCGTCAGTCGGGTCTGGGCAGGACTTGAGAATACATATTGCACAGCTAGGCAATGCGATTTGTAGACCGACACCCTATCCACCAAGCCCTTATTGATACTTGAAAGGTAAGACGGGAGCAGCCACCTACAAACAGCATGATTGGGGGCTATTATTTCGAATCCATCAGTGGCGCGGATATAATAACTGTTCGGGATATCGTTCTCGTCTGGCATGTTTGTCGTGTGGTGTGTTAGTCCGTACACAACATTTCGACCAGTTCGCTCTCTGGCCGTCGTCAGGTGCTATCAAGCCCTGAGAGGGACTGATGATGTTTGGCTATCAGTCAAGCATCGTCAGTAACTTTCATAGCATACGTTGGCGCATGCCAAAAATCGCCATTTTTCAGCGCCAACCTATGCCTTACGACACTTGGCGAAATAAAACCCTGAAACGTTACGTACACTATAACGCCATTAACGAGCCTGACACATTCGGCCAACATGATGGACAATGTGTCCGGACACCCTTGACCTTGAGTTAAAGATGGCGGACACTGGAGCAAACACGCAGCGTTACGTCCCACAGACCACCCCTACGTAGCTCGTCTACGTCCCGCAGACCACCCCGATGTAGCTCGTCTACGTTCCACAGACCACCCCGATGTAGCTCGTCTACGTCCCACAGACCACCCCGATGGTAGCTCGTCTACGTCCCGCAGACCACCTCGATGTAGCTCGTCTGCAAGGTCAAATGGCTCCTGGCTGGGGGGGGGGGGGGGCTGGTTAGCTCTACTCAGGGTCGTTTTGTCAGTTGCTCTGCAGCACGTTATGTTTGGGCACGTGGACCGGAAGGGGAGGGGGGATGGAATGGGGGCTGAGCTCGCACTCCCAGGTCTCTGATAATTTTGCATTTTATGAGCGTTGAAGAAATGCAGAAAAAATACCGCACCTGGCCACCGGCCGCCAGCTTGGGAGAAACTCCGCTGCCATCCGGGTAGGGATTGCTTTGGAAAGTCCCTTATTCGGAACCCGGCGCATGGAGGTCGCTGCTTCATGCATTTTCATATCGGTTATGACATTTAGATGCAGCCGTTTCAAAGAAATCTGATTTCTATGGAAGGCATCGTTTTTAGTTTATGGCGTGAGAGGGGGTTTGGAAAACATGATCTGATCGCATAGACATGCGACGGAGGAGTGACACCGTGAGCGTTATGGCACCCCAGCCTCCGAGTATGTTGAACCTTAACACTGTGTCAACACATGAAAAATGACGTTAACTTTCGATCTGGCTCACCCGCTTTCTGAGTCCTTTCTTCATCTGTATCTGGCGGGCTAGCAGTGTCCAGGAAACATGACGTTTTATCCCCAGTTTTACCTGAAATGGCAGTTGCCATCGGACCCAAAGAATGCTAATCGATGGCCGCAAGAACTGTGAGGCCTTGGCAGCCTAACCTTTAACCTCCAGCAAACTTGGTATTGGCCTATGAACATTGACGAGACACAATTAGTCAAAAATGGATTAAACCTCCAAAAACCTTCCACCTCCCGGTACAAAACCTTCCGATGCAAATTCGTTTTCGAAATTGAGGAGAATAAACGGTTGCATAGCCTAAATCTTTTGGGCCGAATGGCAGATGAGCTGAATGTTAATTTTTTAATTTGCGATTTTGACCAGGTTCCTGCACATCACTGAATGTCTCCAGTGTCAAGACGTTCTGACTCAGAGGCGCTTTGAATGGGAATTTTTTTAACGCGAAATGGGTGGGCAAAATAAGGGCTATACAATGTCCCATCTTGTTAACATTGCGCGGCGCATGTCTTCTCTGTGCCCCCCCCCCCCCCCCCCAACACACACTCAGTGATTACACCTCATGCCTCTCTGCACAACAGCTTGAGATGACTTCCATTGCCCCTGGCCTAATCTTAGGGAACCACAAACAGGGCGTCGTCTTGATCGCGTGCATACATGGTGCTCACGCACCGTCGCCGGCAAGGCCAAGCTGCGGTGGCGGCGGCGGCAACTGGGCCGCGCAGCCGGCCAGCTGTGACCGCGCCGCGCCCGGCTGCAAACGGTCCGTGACGTCACCGCGCGACGTGACGTCACGGCCCGGTGAGTCACACGGCCGTCGCCCCGCCCGGCTGGTCGCCCTGTCGAAACGGCGACCCTGACAGCCGGGGAGAGGGGCGGCGGTAGAGGCGGTGTCTGCTCCGCGGGTGCCGTCTCGCTCTGCCGTCCTGAGCGCTGGGTGTGTCGCACACCGGCGCATTGCTGAGCGCCCTCTGAAATGTTGAATGCGTCGCCCCACCTCTGTACTTCCACCAGACCGGTGACTTGACCATTGGGCGTGTTACAGATCGGTGTTCTGCATACACAGCGTGTCGCCCGGGGATTGCGAACAAAAGGACGCGTAGCAGCGCTTGTCTGGCAGGTGCTTGTGGGATAAAATGTTCGTATGCTTTAAATTCGCTTAGACAAAATTCGTAATGTAAGGACTTAAGATACAATGAAGTTGGTATGGTCAACGTTGGGAACAATGTTCTAAAACAGAATTTTCGCGCGCGGAAAAGTTCGTCGGAACAAAGTCTTTTTGACAAAAGTATAGCCGTAGCTTCATACGCCGAAGCGCACGTGCTGATGTATCATGTCAGTACGGAAAGTCCGCAGCCAGAATATTTTATGCAAATGTTTAATGCAAGCTCGTATCCGGATCATCATCATTGGTGCTGGGCGTTTGATGCATCATTACTGTGGGGGCCACTAAACTCCGTCGACCGGGAATAGAGAGTGGAAGGGAAAGAGAATGGCGGTTGACCTAGACAACTGCATGGGTTGTGTCAAGCGTAATGACTATCATAACTCATGTCATTGAAAATGAAATCGCTTTAACGGTGGCCAGCAAATGAACAGAAATCAATGGGTGTGATGTAAAATGTCGCTTGAATGGAAATTTCCATTTTTTTAGTACAAATCTATCCACCGCAGATAAGCAGTCATCTTTGTCGTGTACTCCTTATCCCTCGCCCTGGCGGCGTCTTTATCGGCACTTTGATGCACCCACTTTGATCAGGACCTTGTTTACAACCGACCCAGCATAATCCGAAGCTTTCGCTTTTACACTGTATGCCAGGTGGGGGAAGAAATTGCACGCTTGAATTATAACCTTTAGATTACCCTGTGAAGACCACATTTCGGAGAAATCTAACAGCTGAGATGTGCTATTTGCGGCCCGGATGCTCTAACTTTTCTGTGGAGCACCCCCTTGGGAGTACTACTCATGTGAAATTGTTACGATATGATTATGCATTCTTACGAGTGTTTCCATACATCCTTGTTTGAAACGAACTTTTATGCTTGAAACCTTCACGGACGTACAGTTACTAACAATCGATTGCATACACACTTGAAGGGAACATTTCACATTTGAAGATATTGAAGAGAGCATCACATATGATGAAACATGCTCACCTATCAATATCGGCACACTCTTTAAGTAGAAAAACTGCTGTAGACAGCACAATTTTCTGTTGAGTAAATATGTTCCTCAATGCATTATGGTTTGATTACGTCATCGTTAATTGCACGCCATTGATTGAGAGTCAATTGACGGCCGGTATATCTGGAAATCACGCGCACGAACGCCAGATATGAACGACTTGACAATCATCTTTTCTAGGCCTTGATCACCGCATGACTCACGGAATGGCAGATTTAATGACGTTATTATGACGTCATGAATGCAAAGGTGACTTTGAAACGCTCTCCCCGATATACTTTTCTGCATTTCCGCAGGCGTGTAGCTCAGAAACTAGAGGGGCAGCATTGTGAAACCTTCCGAGGGGCAACATTGTGAACAGCACCAAAAAGTCTTCAAGATGGCTATTTCAGTTCAAACCCGATATAAATTGGAAACACATCCTGTAATACATGCGAACTTTTTCCATTCCAATTTTTGTTGTGACGAACTTCTGTCAATACGAATATTGTACATACCCACCTGCTTAATACCTTATAAACATTTCCTCGGGAAATTATACGTACAAATTTGGGCGTACGTCGTTCTTCCATGCGAACTGTATGCCTGACGTAAATTGGCTTACGAACAATTACGTGCGTGCTTCATGCATACGTACTTACGTGCAGACGTACCTCATGAGGCTCTGAAGGAAGAGCACAGCGTAAACTATTGGGTACAGTCAATAAAATGGTTATTGAGCATTATAACGTCGTTTAGCCGGTATCTCTTGGTATACAGAAGGTTGTCAACTTAACATAACAACTTCTAACTTACAAGGCCGGCAACACAGGAGCTAAATGCCCTTCTTTCTTAAAACAAGCAGAAATTAGGCGTGATTAACTGCATTATCGACCAACACAGATGCAGTTTGGGTATGGGCATTTGCAACAGATCACCACACGGTTCCGCCTGTTCATTAAGAACGAATTACACGAAGAAGCCCGCGAGTGCTTACGCACACCACAGTGGAAAGGATCTGTACAACTAATCTGGATTGCTGAAGAAATGTGCAGAACGTCGGGGGTGCTTAAGTCAAGGATGAAGCCAATTATCTAGATGCGTCACCATGGGGCTGATATTACGCATCCCTGGAAAGAAGGGGGCCCACTTTCGTCCATGACCACAGCTTGAAACGTGGAATTTGGATAATAACACCATGCTTGCCTCATGATATCGTTAACCAGTGCT